GGGGGGGGGGAGTCTAATCAAAAGTTTTTTCCCCGGGCGCCGGAAAGGGTCGCTATGCCTCTGTTTTATAGTCATTCACTGTGTCAGACGCGTTCGGCGGCGCTCGGAAAGGGTCCGATTTGGCGCTACGGGCTAGACTGTGAGCAATATGCCTTTATGATTGCATTTAAATTGTGTTTATGTTATGAGTGTTATGTTTGTTTTTTTCGTTTGTTTTTGTGTTGTGTTTAGTTTTGTTCTGTTCCCAAGTTGGTACATTTAAAAAAAGATTTACCGTGGCAGAGCACGGGATGCAGCTAGTATATATATATCTACATATATATATATATCTACATATATATATATCTACATATATATATATATATATATCTACATATATATAGGTATTTATCTACATATATATATATATATATATCTACATATATATATATATACTAGCCGTCCCGGCCAGGCCCTGCTCTGGCTTCTGTGAAAAACCTTTCTGTTAAAGACCATTACCTGTGTGTTTAGTAATCATCATAAACCCGGCATCGCCCACCCAAACCACAACCAACCAAAACAACAAAACGCAAACATAACACTAACACAATTACAAATACAAACGAAAACAAAAACCTAACAACAAACCCAACAACAACCACAAACACCAATACAAACACAAAGAAAAAACAAACAAAAAAGCAAACGAAAACAAAAACCTAACAACAAAACCAACTACAAACACCAATACCAACAAAAAAAAGAAAAACAACGAAAAAGCAAACGAAAACAAACCAAATCCAAACTCAAAACCAACCAAAAACACAAATACAAACCCAAAGAAAAAAACACAAACAAAAACGAAAAAAGAAAGAACAAAAACGAACCAAATCAAAACGCAACCACTAACGCAAACCCACCTAAACACAAAGAAAACTCTAACGCGAACATAAACGCCCGGGGCGGAATCACCTGTTTTAGCTTAATGAACGACTATAGTACCCCAACTTATTCAGTCTTTTGCACTCACTTAAACGAACGCGCCTGTTTCAATTTAATGAACAATTTTAATACTCCAAGCTTATCCGTAAAATACCTACAACATTTGCACTTGATCAATCCCCGCTAATTATGTAATTATTTTTTTTCCCAACACCAAAACAAAGTAATTAAAAAGTAAATTATTTTCGACTAATGCAATGGTTTTATAAAGGGAAGTAATTGTGTTTTCCCTAATTTATCAAAGGGAAGTAAGTGCTATAGGACTAAATAAAGACATAATTAGAATTTTTGTAAAAGATGATATTTTTTTAAAACTTGTGTTTAATAAACATGCCGACAATTATTACTATAATTTAAAAAAATGAAAATTATTTCCCAACACTTTCAATAGTAATTTTTTAACTCATAAATTTAGACAAATGCGCACGATAATTGTCTAACACTTAAATCCATCCAAGACCAACGACAAACATATGCGTTACATACAGAACTGAGCTTTATATATTAGATATCTACATATATATATATATATATCTACGTATATATATATATCTACGTATATATATATATATATATCTACGTATATATATCTACATATATATATATATATCTACGTATATATATATATATATCTACGTATATATATATATATATATATATATATATATATATATATATATATATATATATATATATATATATATATATATATCTATATATATATATATATATATCTACGTATATATATATATATCTACGTATATATATATATATATATATATATATATATATATATATATATATCTACGTATATATATATATATATATATATATCTACGTATATATATATATATATATATATATATATATCTACGTATATATATATATATATATATATATATATCTACGTATATATATATATATATATATCTACGTATATATTTATATATATATCTACGTATATATTTATATATATATCTACGTATATATATATATATATCTACATATATATATATCTACATATATATATATATATATATATATATATATATATATATATATATATATATATATATATATATATATATATATATATATATATATATATATATATATATATATATGAATATATATATCTACATATATATCTACATATATATATACATATATATATATATATATATATATATATATATATATATATATATATATATATATATATATATATATGAATATATATATCTACATATATATCTACATATATATATACATATATATATATATATATATATATATATATATATATATATATATATATATATATATATATATATATATATATATATATATATATATATATATATATATATACATACATAAATATATGTATATGTGTAAAAGTATGACACTGAATTACAACACAAATTGACATCCCACCTATTTACACCATTAGAGAAACATTATCTATCATTAGTAGAAATATTTACAGAAAGTTGTAACCATTAAATTTTTTTTTCAGCAATTACTGTTATACAAGCTTTCAGATCTTGAAAATATATGGGATAAGATTCAATCTCATTCTTCAAAAAGACAACAGTGGATCACTGATCTGGATAATCAGTTTCGAAATATTGAAACAGATAGAATGAAAAAGGTCATCTAGCCTTCAGAAATTAAAAATATGAATTTAGTTCCTCTTAATTAATCACATTTATTAATTAACATAATACCAGTTTTGAAGTCTGCTGAATAAAGCAAAAGACTATAAATTAAGTGTAGCTAATTTTTTTTACAGATCCGAGAGGTTTTTACACGCTATGGGAAAGAAATTAACAAAATATCTTATCTAGCAAAGTCTGATATCCAACGACTGATGGATAAAGAATCACAGGCAATTACTTAGCATACATATTTATTAAGGACATGTTTTTTTTACCTTAGTATATCAGGGCTGCCTACAATTTATCCCACAAAATCTTATGATTTTGACACCTAGTTAACAATATTAAAATTGTCTAAATGGTTATGCTTTTGCCTTCTGTAAAAACAGCTGAAGTTAATGTAGTATTTTTTTTTTATTGTGGTAACCTTTGGTTCCTGGTCTAGAGATTTACCTTCCTCTTGTTAAAATTACGGCTGGTACTTCTTGTAACACCCCCACCCCCCCCAATCAAAAGATGAAAGTTATTAGGTCCATCACACCAGGATTGTCCATCATGCAAAAAATTTATTGAATAAACTAAATCTAATTTCTTTTTACTAAAATAGCCAAAGGATAAACTCATACAAATGATATAGTATGCAAGCATAAATTATCAATAAAATTATCATGGTTAGGTTAGGTTTGCCTGTCGTCCTTACTGGGACATTTGTCGCTGACAAGAGCTTTCCAGGCATCTCTGTCCTGGGCTAGTCTCTCCAACTGTCCCCAGGTGTATCCAATCTTCTTGCTGTCTTCTTCCAGGTCATGTCTCCAGGTCTTTCTTGGTCTGCCTCTCCTCCTCCTGCACTATGGGTTCTAGGTGAGGGCCTGTCTTGTTATGCTGGATACAGGCTTCCTGAATGTGTTGCCAATCCATTTCCATTTTCTCTGGAGGATCTCTACTTCAACTGCCAGTTGATTTGTCCGTTGCCATAGAACATCATTTCTGATGGTCTTAGCCCTTCGAATTTGCAGGATCTTTCTGAGGCATGCGTTTATAAATGATTGTATTTTCTTCTTATTTATAGCAGTTATTCTCCATGTCTCAGCTCCATAGAGTAAAACAGTTTTTACTAGTGTGTTGAAGATCTGGATTTTATTCCAAGGGTTAAATCTCCAGAACCCCAACATTTTTTAGTTGGTTGAAAACTGCTCTTGCCTTGCCCCCCTTTATCTTTATGTCTGCTTCTGTCCCACCCTGCTTATCAACAACACTTTCGAGGTAGGTGAATGTATCCACTTCTTCTAGGGCTTCTTCTGCCAATGATATGGGGTTGCTGTTTGATGCATTGACTTTGAGAACATTACTTTTCCCTCTGTGGATGTTCAGGCCTAGGCATGTAGAAAAATTAGCAACACTGTTGGTTTTATCTTACATTTGCTGTTGTATTTCTTCTTGGGTGGGTCTGGACAATGGTCATTAGCCTGTTTCTAGAATTCGTCTTTGTCCTCTTCTTTGCTGTCATTTGTTGGGGTGTAAGCCTGTATTATGTCCATGTTTATTCGTCTTATTTTAGTTTTAAAGGTAGCTGTTATGATCCGCGGGCAGTGTGCCTCCCATCGAATGAGAGTCCTTTGTGCTTGGTTTGAGAGCATGAATGCGACTCCTTTAGTATGTGGTGCATTTTCATCCTCATGGCCTGAGAACAGCAGTAGCTCTCCTGTTATCAGTCTTTTTGTCCTGAGCCAGTCCACCTTGTCTCGCTGATACCCAGGATAGCTATTTTATAGCGTCTCATTTCTGCGGCTACTTGGGTTGCTTTTCCAGCAAATATGCTTTTCATTTTTTTCTAGATGATCAACCAGATAATGCTGACTAATCGCAGGTCATATGCAGACTTGTATGTTCGCCTAATTACTGCAGATATTGAAAGAGAAAAGAATCAGAGAATTTACTGGAGCAGAAGAGTTGATGAGTGGAAATCTCTACTTTGTAAAATAGCAGTTGAGAACTTCAAGTAAGTCATGTTTTCATTCATTTACATTGTAAGTATACATCATACATTTTATCCCAATTAAAAAAATTATATCCATTATTTTATTTTTAATATTAATTAATTATATTTTAAATATTTGATGTTATGCAGAGAATTCATGCAATCACCTGAAGTGATGAATCCTTCCTCTATAGAAGCTATAAAGACTGAAATGTTACAAAATTTAAACCTACTGAATTCGCAACGGCTTGGCCTGATAAAATCTCTTAAGTTTGTAGATCATTTTGTTTTTGCCTTGCATAAGAACTGAAATATATCTAATTAAATAATTTGTTTTATTAATTTAAAGTTTTTACTGCTAACATTTATACGACATACCACTTCTGATCAGAGAGATTAAGTGTATACATAGTTTTTTACGATTATGTAAAGTAATAACATCAGAATTTTATTTATTTTAGTGACATGAAACCACCTAACTCCACCAAGTCAGCTGTTTATAAATGGCGAACTGACATCACAACTATGACAGAACAACTGGGTGACAAAATGTTTTTAACCTCTATTTTAACAATTCTAAAGATATCTTGTTATAAATAGTCACACTAATATAGATTAAAAAGATTGCTTTCTTGGCTGAGTAAATCAATGAGTAAACAGTCAGCATATATCTGCATATTTTTAAAAAGTAATGTCTCATGATCATAATAAAACAAATATAAAACCTTTTACAAATTAGATTTTCTTGATTTGGCCACAAACTCACACTAACTGTGATCTAAGTAAAACACTTTATAATAAATAATACCTGAACAATGTTTAGTATTATCTAGTGAGCTAACACAACTCCTTCTTAAAGTTTTAGCAGAGAATTCAATATTAAAAATTAGATAGAGAAAATATATTAAACACGCGTTCAAATTTTGAATTCTAACACAACATAAAACATTAAAATTCATGGAAGAAAGTTGTTTGGCATTTGCTATATTTATTGGCCTCCCTAAATTTTTTTTAGAAAATATAAGGGCAACAAATAATAAACACTGAATTAAATAACTTGTAATTGTAGAAGTGGTTAAATATCATTGATTAGAAGTTATAAAAAAGAAGAAAAAAAGAACCTTAGACACAATATATAAATAGCAATGAAATTAATTTTCCACTTGTGGAAACTGCTCAGCAGACCTTAGAATATCAGATTTTGATTTAAACAGCATCTACAAAAAGAACTTAGATGAAACAGTAAAATTTTGAGAAATAAAATAGAGAACATTAACACTTAAGATTATTTATATGTTAAATAATTTTTATCTTAACATTATAAAAATAATAGAGTAAGTAGGGTTTCGATGCATTTTAAAGTTGAATAATTTTGTTATCTTTGTGCTCGGTAGATTCTTTATCTTTGGTATACACTGCCAAACTTCATGATGCCTATGAGAAAGTTTGTAGCAAATGTCTTGATGAAATGGAACATGTTAAGGTGAGCTTTTGTTTAAAAGATTTAAGACTTTTTTTTTACTGTCTATAACAGCATATCAGAGCTCTAGAAAAGTATACAAACCACAGGTTTACTCTTAAGCTGTAGTATCACATGACAGCTCTCCAACTGACAATCACAATTAACATAGATGAGATTTCCACTGGCCAACTTAAACTCTGTCTATCTTGTTTCATACAACACAATTGAAAAGGGAAATAATTTACCATGAGATAGACTATGGGTGCAATCCATCCAGATGCTGGAAATCAGATGTGTATGGATCACCCAGTACCAAATATGTTGCCCAGAAAGGGTTAGATGCAACAGTTGATATTATATGTAATACTGCTTCGAGGTTTAGTGCTTTTAAGGGCTGACCCTGAAAGGCATCACTAACACAGTATTGTACTGCGAGTATAATCCTAAAACTTTATTAATGCATTAGCCTTACACAGGTTGAAGCACAAGTATGCAGTATGGTTATGATGGTAGATCATTATATTGATCTTACGAACAAGATGTGTTGTACGTAATTGACGTAAATGATGTAAATGTATCCCACTAAAATAAGGAAACAATAGGTTACACGATTTCAATGTTATACTAAAATATTACATCAAGTCCACAATCACAATGTGACAAGGCAGATCAAAATAGATTTGCATTACTAAATCTATAACAATATGAAAATCTCATTATAATCTTTCTAGCCTGCATAGCACTAGTAAATATTTAAATGATAACTATGCCAGTTTGTCTTCAGGTAATTAACACTGGCAAAATAACTGGTTTAAGTAATGAAAGCTTTAAAGTACAGCACAAATGACAAGCACATTGTCTCACAGTAATAAAAATGCTGCGTTTAAAGGTATACCTTTGTTAGCAATTGTCCTTGCCAACCAACTAAACAAATAGTCACAAAATACACACAATAAATGGTTTATAGCTGTTTACTTCATTAGGCCTATTCTGTATTTGCTATTTTCTTTCACTGACTAACGACCATCAACACATAGGGTCTTGATCCTAAGAGTCTTTACGCTATACTGCCATCATATAAGTCAGAACACAAACCAGATTCCCAGAGGACACATGACATGGGAAAACATGGTAAAAAACATGGTCAAACTGGAAGCAATCGCTTACAAGAGCACAGCAATAGTCAACATAGCATTAACAAATGCAAACCCATAGGGCTTGCAACCAATTAAGATTTTTATTATTTCCTTTTGCTGTAACACTAAATAATGTGTTACACATGATTTGTCTCAGTCTTAATTTTCCATGTACGGTTTTGTTGATTTTTATTTATGTATGCTATAGACTTTTGCTAAAACTGTCATGTTTAGGTTTAGTAGTTCTTAAATTTTTTTATTGATTTTAAAAATGGACTCATTGGTTTCTAGTGAGTTGCACATACACTCAAATCTTACTATACAAATCATATCACAAAATTACAGTAATTATATTAATACAAAGTGTACTTAGAATGAATCTTTTGATATTTAAACTGTGTTTCAGAGTCAGCTGATAGAATCAGGTCTTTGTTCAAGCCATCGTGCAGCCCAGGTTGTTGATGAATATATGTTACCACTTATTGGGGAACAGCAGAGGACATTTGAGGAGAATGTAGCATCAATAGAGGTCAGATTATTAAATATCTTAAATTATGTGCAACAGAATACATACATTTTAAAATGTTTTCTATATATTTTCTATATTACATGAAGCAGATAGTGTCAAATTTTTCATTTTTTTTAACAAATTAGGAGATCTATCAATAACTTTGGTCATAAACCTGCTAAACTTGCACTTAGAAAAAGACCTGAAGATTTCTTTAAAGAAATATATGTGCAAAGAGTAACTACTATGGTTGACCTTTGTTTATTAGTAGCAAATCATCTATTGGGTATATCATTGTCATAAAAATTTAACTTTTGGCACTTTGCAACGAACAATTTGCCATGAATGATGTTATAACAAAGAGACATTTAATTAGTTAACATGTAGAATTATTACAAATCATAATATGATTATGAATTATCCCTTACAAAGTTTAAATTATAATTTGATAAATCAGCAGGTAATTTAAAAAGTGTGTTACATTGAAATGTCTGACTTCTTCCTTGATGTCAGACAAGTATTTTCACCTTTTTGATAATTTAGACTGGTCACTTGATAGGTCATCTTGATCCTATGCTCCTGTGGAAGCCAAAGGAAGAAGAAAAAAATGAAAGTTACATGCTTCTATTTTTGTTATTGTCTGTAAATTGTCTAGTGCACAATCTTTCAATAAGTGAAAAAAATTTAATTAAGCTTCTAAATATGTAATATGAGACAATGGCGTATACAGCACATTTATTGTAAACACATTTTGTGTTTTTAGAAATCAGTAGAAGAACAGAACAGCAAGATGATTGTAGAGGTCAACGCTCTGTTTAAGTACATTCAAGGAGTAGCACATTTATGGGATCTACATGAGATTGGATTAGCTAAGCAAGAAAGAGCTTTACAAGAAAAATTGGAGCTGTGCCGTCAAAAACATGATCAGAGCAACCAGGTAAGTATATTAGAATGGTTTGCTATTATGTGCTGTTGTCACTGAGCAACACTTTCAAACAAATTTAACATAACATTTTTATTATAAGTATTAAGGGGATATATGCGGTAAAAAAATCACAAAATTTCATGATGGGTTTCTTGCATTTTTGGATACTTTTGTATTAAGAAAATAACTTTAAAGAGAAAAAAAAAAATTGTGTTTAAATTACCTTTTTTATGACCCTATGAATTAAAAAATAATCAATTTTTCCCAATCTTACAAGCCCTCTATGAAAAGTTTTATATCCGTCATCATATTGTATTTGGCATCATTGGAAAGCTGTATTTCTCATTTATTTGATAATCTTAATTTCCATCATCTTGGAAACACCCAAAGCTTACTATCGGCTTTGCAGTTTACACAGATATTGTATTTTTGTGACCTACTTTTTGTTACTTTTGGCTGTTTTTCTCAGTTCGGTGGGGTCGGTGGTTTTTAACACTAAAAAGAATACTACTTTTTTATTTATCAAACAATGCCCACCATATTTTCAGTAGTTGTTTTTCATGAAAAAATACAACTTTAGTCATGAGGTAAGTATGATGGCTTTTATAGAAAAAAAGTATTTGATAACTAATATGAATATTTTTAAACTTTGAATACTAAAAAGGGTAAGATTTTTTCAACTTTGTAAAATTCTTTCTAGTAGCTATTTCAAAAAGTTGTCGTGACAAAAGTTTATATATATATACTGAAATATAAGCAGTTTAACCCTTTCCCCGGCAACATATTTGGTACCCTGTCCCCGGCAACTGGGTGAATCATACCTGGACACTTTTTATAGTGGGAAAAACTATTTCTTCTGATTCCCGGCAACTGGGTGGATTACACCCCAAAGACTTTCTTATAGTAAATTCTTTTCTTTGTTCATTGTGGGGTGGGTAACAATACTGACACAGTTAAGGTATTCGGGGCATTGTGGCCATGGGGAACACAAGACATGTTGTTGTCAATGGGAGAGCTGTAATATGAAACTACAGGTTGATGGGATTCTCAAGCAAGAGTTAACCTGTGGGTGGACACATGTAGTGATTTATACTCTTTACTGGAGCTCTGACTTGCTGTTACAGACAGAACTTTAGTTTAGAGTTACAATATGTTAATGAAATGCAGGGGTAAGATTGCCTGTGGGAGGACATATATGGTGATTTGTACTCTTTTAGGGAGCTCTGGAATGTAGATAGTGACAGTCGAGCATTTTAGAGTAACTTGATGTTAACCTCATTAGGAGTACAAATGAGGACAAAAAGGCAAAACAACTTTGTAATGCTGCTTGAAAGTTGATACTGGGCATTGAATTGATCAAACTGGGAGTGGGGTGGGTGTTCTACAGGTTGTGACCCTGAGAGTAAGGTTTATAAATAGTCATAAACGTTATTGAGAACACAACAGAAACAAGTGCTAATGATAAAGGAATATATTTGCCAGTTTTAGTATAGCAGGTGGAAATGACCAACAAGTTTTGAGTCTGAACTATCAGTATCAGAGGTAGAAGATGAAGAATGGCAGCCATCAGTATCTGAGGTAGAATATGAAGAATGGCAGCCATCAGTATCTGAGGTAGAAGATGAAGAATGGCAGCCATCAGTATCTGAGGTAGAAGATGAAGAATGGCAGCCATCAGTATCAGAGGTAGAAGATGAAGAATGGCAGCCATCAGTATCTGAGGTAGAAGATGAAGAATGGCAGCCATCAGTATCTGAGGTAGAAGATGAAGAATGGCAGCCATCAGTATCAGAGGTAGAAGATGAAGAATGGTAGCCATCAGTATCAGAGCTAGAAAATGAAGAATGGCAGCCATCAGTATCAGAGGTAGAAGACAGTGCTGGTTCAGTTTCAAGCAGCTCTGATAACGAAGGCTACCCAATATACTGCATTTCAACTATCAATAATGTGTCAACAGTTGCCACTCATAATGAAATGAAGCTGATGGTGCAAAGTGGAGAAAAAAGAAATATTTTCAGGAAAGACAAAGTAAGAGTACACTAGACCACTGCCAGAAGTACAAATCCCAGGAAAAATATAAATAGCCTGACTCATAATATTTCTTCTGTACATGAATACAAAAAATAATACAACCAATATTTGACTGCATTAGGAGGGATGGAGAGAAAGCAAGAGGAGACACACTGGCACTCTGCAGAATAACAATTTAGTTGTATGTCAATTCAGTTCTGCTTATGGAAGTCTTTGAAGGCAGAATTTTCTATGAAGAGATTCAGCAACCTTCTGGGTCATATTCACTTCCACAACAATAACACTAACAGTCCATCAGGCTCATGGTATATTTGCTTCCATTATGGTAGATATTCCATACAAATTTAGCAGGGTGTTATGTTCCTGGAGAGATCATTACTAATTGGGCAACTGGGTTGATTTTAGAGGTGGGAGTAGATTTATCCAATACATACCAAGCAATTCCATAAGTATGGAATTAAAATATTTTGGGCATGTGACTATGTAACACCACTAAAAGGGTGCCCATATTTTGTCAAAGAAAACTAAAGTTCCCTCCCAACAAAAGGAAATGTCCAGTTATTTTAATTTTATCTAACTACTGTTCTATCTGAGGTGCAAATTATTAAAACGTTTTAATGTTCTATTATTTTATTACTAAAGTTGATTACTTCAATCCTGTTTGATATTTTTGTTACTCAAATTGTTAATTTATAGTTAAACTTTGAAAATGTAACACAATGACTTAACCCACAATGAGTAAAAAAAAAAAATATTTAGAAGCCAGTTTATAAGTTATAAATATTTTTTCCATTCAAAATTGTGTACGGGTGTGTAACACCCGGTTGCCAGGGACCATATAAAAAAAGTTGAAACCCTCATAAAAAATTTTTTACGCATTTTTAAAAAATTTACAACTTCCAATGTGTTCATCCCAACTTCCTTATAGATGGGAATGAGGCCCAGAAAAATTTATAAAACGAGACTCTAGATGTGAGCAAAAATATAGCGACTTAGGGTCGATTACACCCAGTCGCAGGGTAAGGGGATTGTTACAGGTGCATAAATAAAAAAAGCCTTAGCATTTTTAAAAGTGCGAAAAATTTATAATGGCGGAAGTTTTTTGGGTTACCATGACAATCAAAATTGTTTTCAACCCTTTTTTTTTGCTGTTTAATACTTGCTTTCATGTGCCAAACATGATAGAAGTATTCAAAAGGCTTTAGATCTTAAATTGTAAAAAATAGAAAAAAAAACGCGCATATCCCCTTAACATAATCTTTTTTCAAAATACATTGTAATTTAAATTTTTTACTCAGACATAAAAAATAAATTGCGCAAATAAAAAACTGTGCAAACAGAAAAATGCGCAAAAACCAGCTAATTATATTAATACACTTTAATTTTGTCATATTTTGTGTAAAAATGTTTTATTTTGATTCAATGTATATAAGGTCATTCTTTGTTTATGTCTATCAAAGCTTGATTTAAGAAAACAAAAATAACCTTTTGGACTTTTTTGTGCGGAGTTTTCAGTTGTGCATTTTTCACTGGTGCATCTTTCCAGTCATCAAATAAATTACTTTGATATTTCATGATTAATGCATTAATGGCAAACAAAAAGATAATGTTTTTAATTACACGCTGCATTTATTGAAATGAACAAATATACAATCCAGCGTTTAAATTCAACTACATCTTAAGCATCAATAATAGGACCAAGACATTTTGGAAATCTCCAAACATAAGTAATGGTAAATCTATCATTTGTAGGAGAAAGAAGCTCATCTTGACATTGTTATGGACAGGATGAGACAAGATGCTTCAGAGATAGCACTT